AAATTTAATTCGAAAAATGTCCGCTAGGGGACGCATCTCTGATAGCCAACCAGAAAACAGGATTTTTCTCAAAAATATACAGGTGAAGAGGTATTTTAAATATTGCTATATTAATTCAATGGGAAATTTGTAATTTTTCTGATATACGGTATTTGTCTGGTATAAATTTTGTTTCTATAGATTTTTTCGTGGTAGCTAGAGGACGCTGTTTGACAGTATAACCGGTGGTATAACAGATATTGTGCTTTTGCATAAAAAATGAAATAGTAGGCTATGTTTCCTTTTGCACAAAATTTCCAAATATCAGCGCAAACAACAACTTTCTATCTTCTCTCTAACCGGAAATATTAAGAGAACAAATCATGTCAGGCTTCCGCCTAGAATTATACAGGGTGTCCTAGAAATAAGCGCAAATATTTTAACTGGTAGTTCACCCCAGAAACACGCCTATGAGGGTTTTTTCGCGAAAAAAAAAATTGAAAATTCGAAATTTTTTGCAAAACTTTTTGGATTTTTTTTAGTTTTTAGTTAAAAAAACATAATTTCTTGATAATATGGTAACATAGGTATTATATTAAATTTACAAGAGGGAAAATCCAGAGAAGATCCAGTGGTTCTCAAAATTTTAGCAAAAAATCATTTTTTTGGGAATTTTCAAAACAAAGTAACTCTGATATTTTGAACTTATTTGCAAAACGATAAAGGGAAAATATGTTTCTTTTATCGAGATCTACCACCCCTTAAAATATTTGCACTTATTTCTGGGACACCCTGTATAGTCTAAAAATTATAGGCTAGGAAACAAAAAGAGGTAAATTGGTTAGGTCAAAATATCAAAACGTTTAAGTTTAGTTTTAATGCAGCCGAATTTCGGACATTTTCTTAAAAAAATGATGTCATAAATTTTTAAACGTGTTTATGTAACATTATCGTCCATCCATATATTCCATAAGCTCAGGTTAAAATGTCCGAAAGTCAGACAATCAATAACGTTATTATGTATGTTATTAAATTTTTTTAGGAATGTTGTGCCGCCATATTACTTTTAACAGAAAACGGCCGATATAATAATTATATATAATAATATAAATATAATATAATTTCAATATAATTTCGTATGGCCGTATTTCATGTAACATTATTTAGTTATTAATCCAAGTTCTGTTTTTTCAATTTCACTTGTTTTCTTTTACCTGTTGTTTGTGTTGTTTATTATCATATTATTAAGTTTCTGTTGTTTGGGTGACTTTTCATCGAGCACCGAAGATGCGAATCTTAACCTGTGTATACAGGGTGTTTCAAAACAAATGCGAAAAACTTCAGGGGGCGATTCCTTGTTCAAAATAAAGGGTAGTTTGCTTCATAAACGTTGGGTCAAAAGTCAACCATTAGGGAGATATCGCGGTACAAAGATGGCGGAAAAATAATGTTTTTATTTTTTATCTTGAAAACGAAAAGAGATAGACTAATAAAATTTTATGGAAGCATTACTGTTATGAAAACACACTTTCTGGTAATTTTTCACTTGTTTAAAATGAGTGGAAGGGGTTGAAATAAACTACCCCTATCATTCTTGTTAACGAAATTTAAAGAAAAATCTTATCAAACACATGCAAAAAAAAATTAATTTGGATAGTTTAGTTTGTTTAGAAACTTTTTATCTCTTGTATTTTTTGATAAAACTCTCCGATTTGAAATTAAAAAATAAAATGTAAAGCATTACATGTCAGGACAAAAAACATTTTCTGATAAAGAATCTGGTGGGCTGCTGTAATTTTTTTAGGAAAAAATCTAGTCGGCCGCTGTTACTTTTTAGGATGTTCCTAATATTATTTTATTTGACATTACTCTACTGCAATACGTTATTATCTAGATGATTTATTTTTATCGTTATTATCACTAGATTCTTAATCTAAAAATGTTTTTTGTCCTGACATGTAATGCTTTACATTTTATTTTTTCTATCCAAATTAAAGCATTTGCATGTGTTTGATAAGATTTTTCTTTAAATTTCGTTAACAAGAATGATAGGGGTAGTTTATTTCAACCCCTTCCACTCATTTTAAAAAAGTAAAAAAATTACCTGAAAGTGTGTTTTCATAACAGTAATGCTTCCATAAAATTTCATTAGTCTATCTCTTTTTGTTTTCAAGATAAAAAATAAAAACATTAATTTTCCGCCATCTTTGTACCGCGATATCTCCCTAATGGTTGACTTTTGACCCAACGTTTATAAAGCAAACTACCCTTTATTTTGAACAAGGAATCACCCCCTAAAGTTTTTCGCATTTGTTTTGAAACACCCTGTATAACTGGTCCAATTCTACTTTCGGTGCAAGCAGTTCAGCACCAAGACTGTTGGTCGGTAAATGTTTTGGCAGGAATTCTATATAGGATGGCCAATGATTGGGCTTTTTTAATCATCTGAATGAAATGAACTATACACCATTTCTAAGAGATGAATTGCCAATTTTGTTAGGGGATCCATCATGAGGAAATTGCATTTATTACCATTTCATCAGCATGATGGTTCAGCTTGTACAGTTGTGCCGCTTATTTTGCTATGAATGTGTAGAGATTCTTTGATACCACTTACTTTAGATAAATAACAATTAAATGGCATTAAAATGAAACTAAAATATACGTTTTGGTATATCTATTTTTATTTCCTAGCTTACTACTATAATTTTTAGACTTTATAATCCTAGGCGGCAGCCTAATATGATTTTCTTTCTTAATATCTCCCGTTAGAGAGTAGATAGAAAGTTGCGGTTTGCATTGATATTTTGGAAATTTTGTGCTCTATTTAACTGTGTAAAAAGAAACGTAGCCTGTTATTTAATTTTTTTAAGCAAGAGCGCAGTATCGATTATGATGTCAAACAGCGCCCTCTACCATAAAAATCTGTTTAACAAAATTTATACTGGCGATCATTGGGGAAGAAAATCTTTTTTAAATGTGCCTAGTTTTTTTTAAATCGGATAAGTCAAACCAGAGTTATCAATAGTTTAACAAACGCAAGTTTAACCTTTCCCCACCACTTTATTTTATGAGATAAAGAAAAATACGCTATATCAGAAAAAGATACAAATTTTCCAGTGAATAAAATAGCAAACATTTAAAATACCTCTTCACCTGCATATTTTTGAGAAAAACCCTGTTTTCTAATTGGCCATCATAGATGAAGTTTCCTCAATAGTATCCTTGATAATATACAGGCCGAGGGGTATATTAAACCGCTGGTGTATTTTGGTGTACAGGATGTTGGCATTACTAGGTATTAGTGGTATTAGTGGTATTGGTTGGCATTTTTGGCATTAGTAGGAATTAATTGGAATTTTTTGCCATAACTCGTGATAAGACTGGTATTATTGGAGTTAGTTGCAATTTTTGGCATTATTCGTGGTGTTTCTGGTATTACATTCGAATTAGTTTGGCATTAGTGGCACTGCTTGAGAAATTTTAGTATTTAATCTGTATTTTTGGCAATACTTTGGTATTAGTGTACAGAAACTCAGCGGTTTACCCCTCGATCCAGTACCCTCGATACCAAATCCGGATTTGTCAGAACTGTTATATTTTAATTGAGCTTCATCAACCATACCCTATGAATCCTAGTTGCGATGGATAAATAAATTTTTCAATTTTGAAAATTTGTCCTGTGTACACTGATAAAAAAGATAGACTTTAACTAAAGTCGTCATCGTTCCTGAAAAAAAAATTTAATGGCAAGAGAATTTATTTTAGTTTGGTTTGGTTTGGTTTGGTGCCTGAAGTAAAACTCACTTAACTCAAGAAAACTGGTGAAAAAAAAACTCTTGAAAAATTCGAAAATTTCCCTTGAATCTATTTTCATTCAACCAAGTGCAAGTTACTTTGTTTTAAGATAATAAGAAAAATAAGCTAGGAAGTACTTCGTTCAAGAAACATGATCATTTTTTCAATAGCTAAATACTCTTTTGATGAAAAATAATAACAACACGCAAAAACGATGACGAAGGACGGTATATACAATCAGTCGGCAGTCCGATCAGTCGTACATCATAGTACGCACGGGTTTTGTTGCTTGGAATTTTTCACTTGGAATTTTGCATAATTTGCTTTTTAAACGCATAACAAATTAGTGATTGTTATTAACATGCATTTGTCATTTTTTATGGACAAGTTTTAGGATATATGGATTCTTTAAATGAGTTTCTGAAAAAATAGAAATTAGAGCATTTATTTGCTATATTTGAAGGTAAGAGACATTTATCTAATGCACCTGTTTAGATAATGCATGTGTGACTATAGATAGAATAAGAATATAGGTATCGATTTTTATATGCAAATAATTACAAAAATTTTAGAATTTCAAGTCGTCGTATTAAAAAATTCAAAATGTGACCAAGGCTTATAATTTTAACAATTTATTTGCTTTACTTTGAAATCGTGATATAACATTTCTTTGTAATTTGTAGAGTGATGAACCACCCCAAAAAATACCAAGGAGTGAAGAAGCAGAAATAACTACTATCGAGGAAAATAATAACACTTTACTTACTACAGACCAGGAAAACCTAAATTTATCAGAAAATAATATACCTCGTAATATGCCTGTATATGATGTATAGACTTCCCTTAGATCAAAATAAATTTTAGTTGAGTTAATAGTATTCGCTATGGGTTTAAGAAAAGTGTCTCTTTAATCAAGAAATGGTCCCTTTTCAATTAAGAATTTTTGCATGAATCAAAGAGACTATTGTTCTTGTAGCAAGAACTTCTTTGCATATTCATTTTAGGTCAAGAGTGAAATACTTTGGACAGATAGATTCTTCTATTCTCTAAAGTAATTTTTTAAAGCTTATGAAAAGATAGTTAATGCTTTGGGTAAAGAAACGTCGTTCTTGGCCCTATTGAAAAGCGCCAATCTTTTGGGTCAAAGTCATATTCATTTCGACTGAGAGATCCTTTTTTTCAGTGTATCGGACATTAATTTTTTACCAAACCATTATTCTCACCTCGAACTTATATCGTTCAAAAGCTCAGCTTTCATATTATTCGCCATCATAATCAACAATTTCGGATCTATGGGAGGCTCGTAAAATTTCTCCTCGATTATTTCGTTCATACAGTTGGAGTAAGCGGTCGACACGAGGACAAAAGCCCTAAGCGTCCGGGATCCTTTCATTAAGTTCAAAATTTCGGCCGTGCCATTAACGTTGGTCATTACGGCGTCGGCGAGTTTGGCGTCCATGTTGAGAGAGGCGCCGCAATGGAATACCACGTTTATCTGAAAAATAAATCAGAGTTACCGGTTAATTAGACTAGACGGTTCGGGTGCCGGCTGCTTATCTGCGGTGCGGAGTTGGTCGGCTGTTTTTGCCGTTACGGCGCTGAATTACCGATTACAAGATGCTTAGGGTTGTTTTAATCTTTGGGAATATCGATTTTCCAGATTAGTTTTAATTATTCACGTTTTCGGATGAGCAACTTGTAAGATATTTTTTTCCTTTTAATCCGTGTAATTAGAAAAGAGACCTTTTGGATTATTGGATATAAAAAATATAATTATGCTTAATAAATGAAAAATTTTGTAGAGATTTGAGATAATATAGTTATTAAGATCGGTAAAACTTATTAAAATTGATTAAACAATGCGATTTTTTTGTAGTTTTAATTATTCATGTTTCAGTCTGTAAAAAAATAAACAAATGTTCAGAGAATTTTCTTTTATCGGAGACAAAAATACAAAAAAAGGACACCTAAAAATGCTCGTGTATTTTAAAGTTCCATATATTTAACAAACGTCCACTGACCCAATTTGTGTTCATTAGGAATAAATATCCTCAATTGAGGGAATAGAAGATACGTATTCTCATAATTTTATAACTGTTACGTCTAAAGCTTCATTCAAAACCTCGCAATTAGTGGGTTCAATTACACTTTATACTTTTTCGTTTACGATCATTCACAATGTCTAAAAGAACACAATTAAAATATTAAAATCAATAGAACATCCTAGCAACAGTATAGTTGTATCCATAACCACAATTTCTCTTGACGAATGATAATCAAAAGCCAAAATGACACTCCTCGCAAATTTGAAGTATAATTAGTGGAAGAGTTAAAACTTTGTTAACTTTTTCTACTAATTGAAATTGACTACCACTAATTTTAACGTTTTGAAATGTTACATTGAAATTAAATGAATAAATTTCTACGCTAATTGAAACCACTATTATTCCACTAATTTCGACGTTCTGAATGAACAGGTCAATCCCTAAGCTAAAATTAGCAATAAAAGACAACCAAAAACAATCACAGAAGTCAAACAAATCAAGTTAAAAAGAGACACTTAAGCTTCATTCAGAACCTCGCAATTAAAGGAATAAATAAGTGGTTTCAATTACACTTTATACTTTTTAGTTTACGATCATTCACAATGTCTAAAAAACACAATTAAAATTAATAGAATATCCTAGCAACAGTATAGTTGTATAGAGAAAGCCTAATATTTAGCTTATCACACAATCAACTTTTAATTTCTAACCACAATTTCTCTTGACGGATGATAATTAAAAGCTAAAATGACACTCCTCGCAAATTTTGAAGTATAATTAGTGGAAAAGTTAAAACTTAGTTAACTTTGTCTACTAATTGAAATTAACTACCATTAATTTTGACGTTTTGAATGGTTACATTAAAATTAAATGAACAAATTTCTACGCTAATTGAAACTACTATTATTCCGCTAATTTCGACGTTCTGAATGAACCTTAACAGGTCAATCCCTAAGCTAAAATTAGTAATAAAAGACAACCAAAAACAATCACAGAAGTCAAAAAATCAAGTTAAAAAGAGACACTTAAGCTTCATTCAGAACCTGGCAATTAGAGGAATAGATTAGTGGTTTCAATTACACTTTATACTTTTTAGTTTACGATCATTCACAATGTCTAAAAAACACAATTAAAATTAATAGAATATCCTAGTAACATTATAGTTGTATAGAGAAAGCCTAATATTTAGCTTATCACACAATCAACTTTTAATTTCTAACCACAATTTCTCTTGACGGATTATAATTAAAAGCTAAAATGACATTCCTGGCAAATTTTGAAGTATAATTAGTGGAAAAGTTAAAAACTTGGTTAACTTTTTCTACTAATTGAAATTGACTACCACTAATTTTGACGTTTTGAATGGTTAAATTAAATTCAAATGAACAAATTTCTACGCTAATTGAAACCACTATTATTCCACTAATTTCGACGTTCTGAATGAAGCTTAACAGGTCAATCCCTAAGCTAAAATTAGTAATAAAAGATAACCAAAAACAATCACAGAAGTCAAACAAATCAAGTTAAAAAGAGACACTTCAGCTTCATTCAGAACTTGGCAATTAGAGGAATAAATTAGTGGTTTCAATTACACTTTATACTTTTTAGTTTAGGATCATTCACAATGTCTAAAAACACAATTAAAATTAATAGAATATCCTAGCAACAGTATAGTTGTATAGAGAAAGCCTAATATTTAGCTTATCACACTAATCAACTTTTAATTTCTAACCACAATTTTTCTTGACGGATGATAATCAAAAGCTAAAATGACACTCGTCGCAAATTTTGAAGTATAATTAGTGGAAAAGTTAAAAGCTTGTTAACTTTTTCTACTAATTGAAAGTGACTACCACTAATTTTGACGCTTTGAATGCTTACATTGAAATTAAATGGACAAACTTCTACGCTCATTGAAACCACTATTATTCCACTAATTTTGACGTTCTGAATGAAGCTTAACAGGTCAATCCCTAAGCTAAAATTAATAATAAAAGACAACCAAAAACAGTCACACAAGTCAAACAAATCAAGTTAAAAAGAGACACTTAAGCTTCATTCAGAACCTCGCAATTAGTGGAATAAATTAGTGGTTTCAATTACACTTTATACTTTTTAGTTCACGATCATTCACAATGTCTAAAAAACACAATTAAAATTAATAGAATATCCTAGCAACAGCTTGCATTAGTCAGTTGTAGCCATAGAGAAAACCTAATATTTAACTTATAAAACAAACAACTTTAGATTTCTAACCACAATTGCTCTTGACGGAAGATAATCAAAGACGAAAATGACATTTCTCGCAAATTTTGAAGTATAATTAATGGAAAAGTTAAGTGTTTGATAACTTTTTCTACTAATTGAAAATGTCTACCACTAATTTTGTCGTTTTGGATGCTTGCATTAAAATTAAAGGAACATAATTAAACTTCTACGCTAATTGAAACCATAAACCTTTAATTTATTCCACTAATTGCGAGTTCTGAATGAAGCTTTACATATAGTTAAAAAAACTTACAATTTATAGAGAAATATATAATTACTTGTGGTGGAAAATGACTTTGATCTTAATGATCTTATATAATTAAAATTAAGGATGGTTAAATTAGAAAACAATTAAAAGAATATTTTCAACTGCTAAGAAGAACAGTTTTACTGATTCTTCAAGAAATTTGTAGCTAACATACTTGAATCTATTATAAGAGAAAAACAAAATATTGGCGATATTAATATGGCGAGAGTTTGAAATATCCTGTGGAATTTTTCAACAAAATAAGGAATTTGAAAAGCATTTTATCATCGAGTTGCATTTTTTATCATCGAGGAGCATTCAAATCTTTGACGATATCGATTTTCCAGATAAGTTTTGATTAATGGAATTAGCAACTTATAAGATTTAATACGTGTAATTAGAAAAGAGACCTTTGAATTATTGAAGATAAAAAATATAATTATGCATAATAAATGAATAACTTTGGTAAGATTTGAGACTAATATAGTAATTAAGGTAGGTAAAATTCATTAAAATTGATTAAACAATGCAAATATTTTTGTAGTTTTAATTATTCATGTTTCAGTCTTTGAAAAGAACAAACACATTTTCAGATTACTGGAGATAAAAATACAAAAAATACACTAACTCTCCAGTACTAACATGATTTTTGTAACATTAGTACTAACATCAGTCTGTCACATTTTGTGTCTAAAATTATACTAGGTATCACGTTGTAGCTTTTATTTCTATCAATTTGTAGATCTTTAAAAAAGTTAAATGTGCTTCATTTTCTACGAAAATTTTATATTCGGATTCAAAGTTAGATGCCCAGACTCAAAAATATAAAGAAGTCAAAATTGCAGTTTTATTCATTCAAACTTTTTCTAGGAGATCTCTATGGTCACTATTATTTGGAATTTAATAATTTTTCAAAAAAGCAACTTCTATTATTAATAATCCCAATAATTTTACATTTATTTTTTTTTATACTTAAATTATTAACGGTACGTACCATACGTACCGTTAAATCATATACGTAAAATATCACCAAAATGAAAATTTAAACTGTAAACAAACGTATTTTAAAACCTTTTATAATACAGTAGAAAATATATTTCTATTCGATTGCTTATCATCTGGTGTAGCAATGAAATTTTATATTTGAACAGTGTCGCTTTTTCATTATATTTAACAGTCAAATATGCTTTAAAGAAGTTAAATAGAGATTTGTTTGTTTAGGACCGGAAATGGAACTTGGAAACTCTAACAGTTTATGCAACGAAGAAAGAATATAATAATATGATAATTCGATTTAGTTTTCTGTTTTAAAAACTTTTGTCGTAAACTATCTTATATGCTATAATTCAGGTAATTTGAAATTTCTGCTTATTAAGCAACAAATGATTTGTGTTAGTTTTAATAACTAGAAGAATAGAGTAAATACATGTTATTAAGTTTGATATTTGGCGACAATTTATTATAAAATACCTATTATTTTTTTGGCTATTGTTTTTTAGTGTTTAAATTATTTACACCTTATTTTATAGATTTTTTATGAGTTTTGTTTCTACAGGGTGATTTATGAGAAAATATTAATATATCAGGTGAGTATTCAGGACAAAAGTAAACATAAAAATCTATAAAAAAATGAACATAAATAGGTATGTCTCCACAAGGTCTTCTTGTTCATATATGAGGAATTGTACTATACCGGGTGTTGCATCGTCGGACGGGACATAGGAAATACCATTTAAATTTTAATTGGGTCAATTATTGGCTTCCCTAATTATTTTAGAGAATAATTGTATTTAGGTTTATTGAAGAGCACTAAAACCCACATTCAAAAGAATAACTTTAGATATTTTTGATTAGCTCGTTTACGAGTTATCGCCGATTTCTTTTTAAATATTTCTCCTTTCTTATGGCCCTGTATTTACTTATGAGCACCAGTCAAGGTAAAAGGTAACTGCTTTATGTGGGTTTTAGTGCTCTTCAATAAACCTAAATAGAATTATTCTCTAAAATAATTAGGGAAGCCAATAATTGACCCCATTAAAATTTACATGGGATTTCCTATGTCCCGCTCGACGATGCAACATCCGGTATCCATTGTGTTAACTTACATTTTCCTTCAGAAATAACGCATCTTCTTTCGATATTCCAAGTCCTTCTTTTCTTAAGTCACCTTCGATAGGATGCAGTTTACTTAAAAAAATCTGCTCATTAGTGTTACTAAATATCTGCAAACCAAGAGACAACTTAGATTAAAGTTATAAATGCAAAATAAACTACCCTTATCCTTAATGAATTAAATATACTGCACACTCCATGAACAGATTTCACTAATAATTTTATAATAAAATATGGAAAGTGCAGTTCATAATATTATATTACATTTTAAAGAAAAACTACGTAATTAGGTGTTTAAGAAAAATAAGAACCTACAAAAAAAATAAAGACAAAGAGACAAAAGTAATATCAACAAACAATAGGGATAATCTAATAATATTAGATGTATTGCCTACCTCTTCTTGAAACATTATCACAACTCTTTTATCAAACCCAATTTCTTCTTTAGCTCGCACAATTAAATAAATGTTTTTTACCTCTGTAGATTTTAATAGTTTTGCAATAATCATTTTACCAAAGTATCCTGTACCTCCGGTAAGAAGTATATTTTGGCCATTATAAAATTCTTTGATTTGACTGCTCATTGTCACTGATGAATGATTGTCCTGCAAAATTAAAGTTTCTGCTAAACATCTTGAAACCATATTGAAGCCATGAATGGTACAATTTGCAAATTTCAATAATTGCAGATTTCAAATTTTGCAATAATCCGAAATAGTTTATTTGGCGGGCAAATGTAGGTTACAAAATCGGAGAAGAGCATAGCGGATTTAGGCCAGGAAGATCATGTGTTCACCATTAACTAACTACATGTGCTCACCATAAAACAGCTACTAAAAAAATGGCAGTAGATAGAGAAGTTCACCTAGCCTTTGGTGGTCTTCTTGAGAAGGCATACGATAATATTCTACGCCCTAAACTTTGGGAAGCTCTACAAATAATCGGAACAGATAGAGATCTAATTTTAATGAATATCCACTCATATATTAAAGTTGGAAGAAATCTATCCGAACCTATAATAGCAACTAAAGGTTTAAGACAAGGATGCAGTATATCTCCATTGCCCTTTAATATACAGGGTGGTCCGAACTGTATTCCGGAAACTTCGGCACCATATTCTGCAGATAAAAATAAGTAAAAAAGTTCGTATAAATGTATGTCCTAAAATGCTTAGTTTCGGAGATACAGGGTGTAGAAGTTTCATTTTTATTTCGATTTTTTCCAAATAATTTCTGAAGTAACGGGAATATTTGGATAAAAATTGGTGTCTGGGAGTTTTTTGACATGAGAAATTTGGATTTTGATGTCAGTATGACTCCTACTAGTAGAGGGCGCCACCTACATATTTTTTAACTGGTTTGAAGAGTAGTAACTTTTTGTCCGTACCTGTATAAAACTACTGAGTAAAAAATATACATTTACGACATTTTCTACGTGAAAAGGTCTCTTGGTAAAAATCGCTACGAGTAATGGTTTTCGAGATATTTGGAATCGAAATTATCAATACCTGTCATCATTTGCATAAATTAAACATGCTGACTAAATAGTTATTAGACTGAAATCATAAATTTGAAATGTTTTTGTGTTAAAAGTTCAACAGAAACTGTTTTATCGTCATGTTTTGCAGAAAAATTTATGATTAATTTAAAAAAATAAAAATTTCCCAAATTTATTATTTCAGTGAAATACTATCTACTCAAAGTGTTTATTTTTCATCAATAATGCATGTATATTTCCATTCTAAATATCTTGAGAACGGTTGCTCGTAGCGATTTTTACAAAGAGATATTTTTTACGTAAAAAGTCACGAGTCAAAAGAGATATATATTTTTTCACTCGGTAGTTTTATACAGGTACCGACAAAAAGTTATTACGCTTCAAAACAGTCAAAACACATGTAGGTGGCGCCCTCTACTAGTTGGAGTCATATTGACATCAAAATCAAATTTCTCATGTCAAAAAACTCCCAGACACCAATTTTCATCCAAATATTGATGTTACTTCAGATATTATTTAGAAAAAATCGAAATAAAAATGAAACTACACCCTGTATCTCTGAAACTAAACATTTTAAGACATACATTTATACGAACTTTTTTACTTATTTTTATCTGCAGAATATGCTTCTGAAGTTTCTGGAATACAGTTCGGACCACCCTGTATATGTAGAAGTTGCACGAAGAGAGTGGAAAAAAAGATGAGGTGGAATGGGGGTATCTTCTTCTTCCTGTGCCTTGTGCTTAGCTGCACGTTGGCGATTGTCTGTACTCTTCATACAATGTGTAAACTGCCGAAATATGGTGGCTGCGTCGCTGATGTTACACCAATCCTGTATGTTTCTTAGCCAGGAATGTTGTTTTCTGGTGGGGGTCACCAGTGGTAAAACATATTTTATATTCGCTCAGTTTTGCTGATGACCAAGTGATGATTGCTGGATTCTTACGACCTAGAATTTATACTAAACAAAAAAGCCGAATTGTTGGTAGTTAACTCAGAAACCAATTTCGAACTCCTGCTGAATGATGAAGTGCAGCTTAACAAGGTTGAAAATTTTAAATATTTGGGCGTTAATATTAACGAAAGACATCTCGAACAACAAGAAGTTATAATATGGATTCAGAACGCAAAACAAGTAAACGGATGTTTAAACTCAGACTGGTAGGATAAGTACAAATCGAAGGAGAACAAAAAACGACTTGGACAGAGCCTAGTCGAATCCGTCTTTTGTTATGGATGTAAGGTATAAAACAACTAACTAACTTGGCGCAGAAGGTAATTTCGGTGGAAAGAAGAAGTGTTTTTCTGCCAAGTCTGCTACCGAAATCGACTACCTCATGCGAAGCGTGCACGACTATCCAGAAGAGAATGCATACGCGACGAAACGGTAAGAAGAATAGTTACTTACAAGTTAAAAGTTACTTAATTTCAAGTTAAGAGAAGTTTTATGCTCAATAAAATGGTTTGAGATCCATGTCATTTATATTGATGATACTATATAACCTGAATGGCAACCTATAAGCATTCGGATTTCTTAAAAAATGCGATTGAAAACGAGAAAAGAACTTTTTAAAAACGTTAATTTAAACAAGCCGTTTTTATACCAACTAGCGATAATAGGTACCAACATTTTCACTATATGGCAACCAATTATCAAACATACCAATCTGGCGTCCATGGTGGATGACCTTACGAGGACTGTACCCAACTTTCCCAGATGAGTGGTTTGAAAACGAAATCTTTGTAAATTTGATTCACATCGAAAAAATATCTATGATATACCCACTTAATTTTTTAAGAAAATTCCTAAAATTTTCGCATTTATTCATTTCCACTTTGCATAAAAATATATCTTAACCAGCCTTTTGGATCTCATCAACCAACTTTTCATGTATATTTTCCATTTTACTGAAGTATGAGAACTGGAACAGTTTGTTGGTGAGAACACCCGAAAGTTATGAGAATTGTTACTCAAAATTCATGGACTAGATGTTAAAAACTAGAGTGTATTCATTCCAGTACTTCTATATAGGTACATGCTTTTGTAGGTAATGTATTATTACAGTTGGGGGTTGAAACCTTTGGTGTTTCAACAGCAAAATAAAACACTAAATCACCATAATACACCAAAATACTTTTACTTTTACACTGGACGAGCGTTTTGCTAACGATGTTAGCATCATCAGCAGATGATTAAAACGGAGTTTTAATCGTATAACTAAAATTAATAGAATAAACTGAATTTTAATCATCTGCTGATGATGCTAACATAGTTAGCGAAAAACGCGTCCGATAGCCAAAATCGTGTAGAAATAAAAGTGTTTTGGTGTATTGTGGTGATATAGTGTTTTATATTGCTGAGGTAATGTATCACCGTAATACAGGAATTAAGTAAAAGCGTACTAGGCTCTATTACGTAAGAACAGCAATGGCCATTACGTGCTCTGTAGTGTAACCAAACCTCTGTAGTAAAACCAAACCAAATCAAAAGGCGCGAATTTATTTTGTATGGTTCAAAATTGATCATCTTAATATTAACTAACTACAGCAGAAACTCGTTTTACGCAGACTCGCATATACGCGTTTCCATTTTTGACACTATAATGACTTACTTTACGCAGTTGTAACATACGATGAAAACCGGCAACAGAGATATTGGCCGCAAATGGCCAGAAGTCGCATATGGCCGCAGGTGCTTGTTATCAAAGACTAAATTAAAGAAATATAATATAATTACTTATACTTATCAAGAAGATGTAAATGATCTACAACTTGAATAGCATATTGTTGAACTCACTGAAGAAGAACTCAAAGAATGGGAACATACTTCAAGATGAATCTGAAGAAAGAAATGTAGATGTAGTCCTGTCACTACAGACCGCACATCGCACATCGATATTATCTGTCACCGTTTCGGGGTGTTTTTCATAAATGTACATTTTTAACGAATCGCTATAACTGTTTTTGCTATGGAAAATTTTGTATTTTTATGAAAACGTTTCCAAAGTACCTTTTTACGTAGAATTTAATGGTTTAAGTATAATTTTTTTAAAATTAATAATTTAACGGTTATCAACAGAATTTTTTATTTTATTTAGAACACCCTGTATATTTTTAATTAACTGGAAAGAACTTAAAATTACCTTTCCAAAAATATAGTACACTGGATATTTTATTAGAGTCCTCTTCGAAATATAGAATTGTTAAAAGTTCGGCACTTTTAACTAGTAGACTTTGGATCCCTTATTGATGATCTGCCCTTAAGGGAACTCGAAGACATATTTTTCCAGCTAGACGAGACACCGACTCCCAACGCTGAAATTATCTGCAATTTTTTGCTACCAATTTCGAGGATAATTGAATAAATAACCAAGGTCCCAACCGTTGGCCGTCGAGGCCGCCGAACTTAGCGCCTGTGGATTTTTATCTTTGAGAAAGATTAAAAGTTCTTTTTTTTAAATTACCCGTATACTCTAGGCAAGAATTAGAAGTACTTGGCGGTTATGCGAGGGTATCTTTCACCCCCTCTGAGTTAATAAATTCGCGAGAAATGTTCAGAAACTGTCTGTGCGAAAAGACACCTTCTGTAGCAAAATCTCATGTCTTAGTTTGCTATTTATTATTATTGTTATTAGATATAGTTTAAATGTTATATTCTTTTTATATAGTTTAAATTGTTATAAAACTCTGCATCTTTTATTAAAAATACTATGTTCGTTTTAATTGCTGCTGACACCTACCAGTAAGTATTTTTTTGCAATACGTTCAAAGCCTACTTATTCAAAGTGGGCGGATTTTTCAAAAACTCTATATTTCGAAGAGGAATCGAGCAAAATATCAAGTATGCTATATTTTTGGAAAGGTATAATTTTATGTTGTTTTCAGTAAATTACAAACATACAGGGTGTACCATATAAATAATGAAATCTCTCGATAACTAAAAAATATATACTTAAACAATTAAATTCTACGTAAAAAGGTGCTTTGGAAATGTTTTCATAAAAATATAAAATTTTCCAGAGCAAAAAATTTACAGCAATTTGTTAAAAATGCACATTTTTGAAAAACACCCCGTAACTCCAAAACGGTAACAGATATCGATGTGCAGATATCGATGTGTCATCATGTTTTTGATAAAAATTAGTTTTCGTCTATCTCCTATAAAAAGGGCGTTTCCCTTTAAAAGCATCCAATTTGGTCCACCCTGTACATATGTAAAGCCATATGTATAGGGTAAGTATATGTATAAAAAAATATGTATATGTATATGTATAAAATAAAATTTTAAATATTTTTCACGAAAAATAAACTCATAGTCGCGTTTCTGCACTAATTTTTTAAAAAATATTTGCACTTATTTATGATTCACCCATGGGTTAGTTTAAGTAATTAAAAGTTTGTTTCAATATACGTGGTGTTCTCAAGATACGTAACCCCCGCGTAAAACGAGGGACTCTTGTATTATTAACTCCTTTACTATTAACCTACTGAAAATATGACCTTAGATTTGCGCATTAAAATAGAACCCCTTCTTTTTCTAGCTTCAAACTTGTAACCAATTTTAAAATAAATAGCTTATTTGAAATTACAAATGAAAATAGTAGTAAATAGTTAACATACCTCGTTTTTTAATGTCAACAGAAATACGAACAGAAAACGACACAAATATTACGTGGAAACGTCCCCAAGGGAAGTAGTCGAACGCCAAGCACGAAACGAATTGATATTGCTATTATAGATTTAATTAAATATTAAGAAGAATTGTAGAAGAGAGGGTATATATTTCATTTGTGTATATTGATCCGATGATTTTTCCATTTTGTTTTCAATTTATATCGACATTTTGATTTATTCCGCATTATGAATAAAAAATAGCTTCAATTTTAATATTCTACTTTACGACGTAAAGCAAAATGGTCTTTGACATATTTTTTTATTGATATTATAGCATGATGAGATAACTATGAATGTTTCTAAATTTAAGGGTTGGTTGGATGACATTTTAAGTAAGCTAGAGATTTCTTAAATAAGGATATGTATAGCACGAAGCTTATTTAAACAATGTCTGTAGCTTTTTAGCGGGTTGAGTTATTGAAAATTAACAAAACTTTAAATTAATACTTTAATATTATGAAATAGCCAAAAGCCTCTAAATAAAAAATAAAAGAGGCCTTTTCTAATAGAATCTCATACTCAATTTCATATATGTAAATATACAGGGTCCGGAAATAATTAGTCGGACATCTGTAGCTCCTAGAATATAAAACTTGGGAATTTTTTTAAGTGCAAACCTAAGTATGTTGGAGGATGTATTTCAGGAGAATGTTTTAATTTCTATAGGATAGCTCAAAAAAGTGTGATTTTTTTTAAATGGAACTGTATATTATTGCATTTTTGGCTTCCTTTCTGGTCACTTTACATAATCCTAGTATGAGTAAAAATATTTTGATCGTTTCAGATATATTAATAAATAAATAAAAAATATATATTTTCAAACTTCCAAAAAAATTATTTTCAAAAAAAAAACAAAACAGTTTGTTTACTTTTTGTAAGTTGTAAACAACTTACAAAAAGTAAACAAACTTACTGAACTCAAAACTATATAGGTACTTACTTTTAGATGGTCTAAACTTACTTTGCTATAAATATCGTAAACTTAAATCATACAGGGTATTCAAAATCCTACACCAAACTTAATAAAATATAAAATAATTTTTGTTTTTTTTTTCAAATAGAATACCCTATAGGTATATTATTTTTTTATTAGATGGAAATAAAAAAATTACATTTTTTATATTTAAAATATTTCGAAATTTTAAATCGTTTCGCAGATACACGCAGTATTATTTCATATGGTGCTTTCAGCTTCATTCATTTTGTATCTCTATGTAAAATATAATAGTAGGTAATCTGTTTTACTGCCTATCCTTATACGATTGTAATTGGTATAATAACCCATATAGCACGTCCAAATGAAATTACGTTTCTACAAGGGAGACACATGAGAAACAACATATGTTAAAGTGAACCTAAGTGTTTATCTAGTTCTAACATATACATATGAAATACACGCTATTGATAGAATTGTGTGATACAGTGTTTACTAGTTGTATACCGTATGCACTCAAGATTCTAAAGAGTTTTTTGTAACGTAACAAATAGTTATTAAAATTTGACGTCGGTATATGAGACATACAATGTATGAGTCATATGTATGTGTGATACTTCGTAGCATAGTTGTGCCTATAGTACACACCTTGTAAAAATGTGACGTATACACATAATATAAATATCTATATCGACACTTTGTAATAGTGCACTGTTGTGTCTACATTCTAGCATGAAATGATGTGCACATGCGTGGGTAGTCTCAGCGTAGATACACCGACCAAGTGTATCTTATGTGTCCTCTCTCCTTTCTCCTTTCTAGGAGTGGTATGTGTTAGCAGCCATTATTGTTTTATCATTCAGAAGCTCTATATAAATGTTCTGTTTGTGTGTAGTTTAAAAGAGATTTTAAGGTAAGTACAAGTTTTTAATTACCTTGTTACACCTTCCTAAGAGTATTATTAATATTATAGCAGCGACTCTTCCCTTACTCGATGTCCAATTTACCAAATTTTGACTCCAATGAATGAAAACTCCAAATATTCTCGTATAATGATAAAGAGGTTAGCTGAGTTAGCTCTGCAATATAATTTTTTTTAATTTGGAAATAATACAAATCTAAATGGACCATAGAAAAAAAGATTTAAACACTTCAAAGAACTTCTTACACTGATATTCGGTAAGTTATTGATGGATCAATATACAGATATGTTTAATATTCAATAAACAGTTTCATATAAAATTTAAGGGTGAGATTGTTAATCTGGAAATAAAATACAACAAAGTCCAACAGAGTGCTCGATGAATAAGTATGCTAATAAACCAATTGCTTGCAGGAAAAAGAGGAGAAAAAAATGACTAAACGAGGTCCACCAAATCGTGGCGATATACCAGTGTTTACCATTTTACTATGTTGTTATACTAGGTACTTATATTTTTAATACATTTTGATACAAATTCTGTTCTTTTACAGTGTTTTCTTACTTCTGGTTTCTGCAGTGTAAATAATTATTATTAATGTGTTATTTGCGCTATTGCGTTCTATGATATAAAGAAATATAAGAATTTTATTTTTTAACCACTTAATCCATTTTATGGAAGAAAAATGGTACATCTAATACAAAACAAAAATGGAACAATTTTAAGGCTACTTCTCTTGAACTTACGATCGAGATACTTTTGGAAAATACAAAGTTTTGCCTTCCTAATTTTCGTTCTAAAAAGATATAATTGGTATCATTGAATAAATATTTCTTAAAAAGAACGAAAAGTTAGGCATCAAAACTTGTATTATTTCCTAAATTCTTTCATAAGAAGTAGTTTTATCTAGCACAAGATGTATATACGAAGCAAAATAGATACGTATACAGGCGGTGGTCACAACTGCAATGTGTAAACATAGTTTAAACGTAATACACAAGCACTGTGTATCCTACGGCACACTGTGTATCCCTTACTTTGTGGATACGTGCTATATATATATATGCTATACTGTGGCTACATTGTGAGGCGGACGTCTAACCTTTATGCATACGTGTTGAACTACAATGTGTAAATAGCATATTTACATCGGGGGAATTGTGTCACCCTGTGTCTACATCTAATAATGTAAACACATTGTAAATGTGATTTGATGTGCTGTATGGGAAATATTTTCACAAATTGGTATCTGGCAGTAAAATGTTTTATTTCTGCATAACTCAAAATTATACTCAATAGAATTGCAAAAATGATATAAGTTGATGTGGTATTTTCCTGACTTTGTTATACATATATATATATATAAACTGCCCGTCAAATTAAATAGCACAGCGATTTTTTTACTCATTCTCAACGAGTTGTAACTTTAAAAAAAATGGACCAATTTTGTTGATTTTTTTTAGCATATTAAAGATGGGTTTTCGTAAATTGATCTGACTTTTCTAAATTTTGTATGACATTTAGTTTTCTATGATATACAGGGTGTGAAAAAAAAGGAATGTGAAAAAGGTGTTGTGAAAAAAATGTTGTGTTGCTGCCATTTTGCCAAAAAACAAAATTTAACTAGAATTATAGGTTTTGGGTATAGCTAAGACTAATATCTCGGGACGTATTTGGAATTTTTACGATAACTCATCTGGAATAAAAGATAATCAATTTTTATTGTAACTTGTATTTTTTCTACCATTCTTAAGGGATATGCTAACAAAACTAAAATTAACTTTAAAATTGTAGGATATTCGTTACTTTTACAATGTGAAATTGAAAAAAACTACTAAGCTGCAGCTAAGCTACAGATTTTTAGACACAAAAAGAGTTTTTACAAAAATATTAAATACGTGTCGAGCTTTTATATTAACCTTATGGGCTGTTAACTTCAGAATATTAAAAAAATAATTTTACTTTTTCGCTGGTCGTATTTTTAAGAGATCCTGTATTAAAATGCCTTAGTTAAATCATTTTTTTTTAATTTCACATTGTAAAAGTAACGAATATCCTACAATTTTAAAGTTAATTTCAGTTTTGTTAGCATATCTTTTAAGAAAGAGAAAAAATACAAGTTAGAATAAAAATTGATTATCTTTTATTCCCGATGAGTTATCGTAAAAATTCCAAATACGTCCCGAGATATTAGTCTTAATAAACAAGGGTCTTAGCTATACCCAGAACTTATAATTCTAGTTAAATTTTGTTTTTTAGCAAAATGGCAACAACACAAAAATTGCATTCCTTTTTTTCATACCCTGTATATTAGGGGATTCAATCCTGGACAATTTTATGTTGCCGGGATCCCGGGATTCTTAACCCCGAATCTCGGGATCCCGGGATTCAATCCCGGGATTTCAGTAATAATGTTACCAATGTTACTTTCAAAGAACATTTTATTAAAATTAACGTTAATTAGTTAAAACAAAAACAAAGTCTTTGTCAAAACACAAAAATAAGTAAATATTCTTCTTAAACAACATTAAACAAAAATTAAAAATCTCAAACAAAACAAAAAAGGAACTGGACTGATAATATTATTCCACATTTTTAAAAAAAATAGCGCAAAAATATAATATTGTCTATTGCGTCATCTCCCATAGCAGAACGAAATTTTCTAACTAACAAGCCTGCTGACGAAAAACACCTTTCCGATTCTACACTTGTAGGCGGTATTGTACTTAAAAAATCAAAAGCTAGTTGTAAGTTTGTTCCACGTTGTCCACTCTTCTGGAACGTATCCATTTCATTTTTAATTTGGGCTTCCAAGTTTTCAGTTTTTGTTACTTGTGGCACTGTCATTCGATTTGACATTTTTTGGTTAATGCTTCATCTAGCCTCTCCGAAAATGACACGTCATCATTTAAGGCCTGGTACCTGTTCTGAATAGTAGCAATTGGCAAATCTTCATCCGATTCCGAACTATCTGAAGAATCTAATATGATTTTACTTATTATATCTAGTCGTTTTAAGAGGTTTGCTATTTCTTGTTTCAAATTTTTTTTATTATTCCGGGAATCACCGACGTATCGCTTGTCGGCGGCGCGCGGCGTCGGCGCTATAAGGAATTCAACTAAAAGAGAGTTTTTGCATATACTACCTTAAAAATAGCGTTTTACTATATTATATAAAATCCCAGGATCTGTTATTATTTCCCCGGGATCCCGGGATTGAAAAAATCCGATAAAAAACGTCGGGATCCCGGAATCCCGAAATCCCAGGATTGAATCCCCTACTGTATATCATAGAAAACTAAATGTCATACAAAATTTAGAAAAATCAAATCAATCTACGAAAAACGATCTTTAATATGCTAAAAAAATCAACAAAATTAGTCCATTTTTTTCAAAGTTACAACTCGTTGAAAATTAGTAAAAAAATCGCTGTGGAATTTAATTTGACGGGCAGTTTATGTTCCATATGTAAAAAAGTGTAACAAATACAACAAATGTAACAATTTGAAATTTGTTACATTTGCTCATATCTGATGAGCACCCACGAGGTTTTATCTTGGCTAGGGTTTTATAAAAGTCGGCGCCTTTGCGGCACGGCGTTGATACACGAGCTCGCGTGAAAAATGTGTTAAGTCAATGAGGAAGTGGAGATCTTTCTGGAGGTATTTGGGGCGTCGTAACTCTGGGCCTATGTGAGCTAGGGGTTTGAATAATAACTCAGAATGTAGTCTCTTTTCATGATATTTTGACGACGTTTCGTACATTATGAAACCCCACCATCAATGGCGAAAAAATCGTCCGATTTAATGTCTTTGAAATTTGCTTTGAAGCGTCGTAACTCGGGCCCTATGTGAGCTAGAGAGCTGAAACTGGGAACGAGTTTCAGAGTTTACATTTTCATGATATTTTGACGATGAAACCAAAACAAATTCAAATTAAAAAATCGTCCGATTTAAATGAAATTTGTTATGTCGATAGATTGGACTAAGGCCAACATGACCGTGTACGACACGTGTCACTGTGACAGCTAGCTTTGACGTAAGTAACGTCAAAAGTTGATGTCCGATCGTGACCAAATTTGGTGGGTAGGCTATGTGAGCGACGGTGCTGGTGCTATGTGATACGGTCCCACCCTGCAAAGTTGGAGATGACTTTTAGTTTACATCTTCATAAGATTGGAACTAAGAATTTGATATTGAAGAAAAATGTTGGTCGATTTCGGCATAATTGACGATGGGCCATGATGGATGTCTCTACCTAACCTAACCTAACCTAACTTTGAAAAGTAATATGCAGGGTGTTGACAAACTCTTTTATTATAGCATGCCATATTTGTAATAACTAACAACCTCAAAACGGCCAATGCTCACCACATCAGTTTTTTTATTGTTTTGCCTGTCGATAATCATAATTTTTGTTTTGGAGAGATTCATTTCAAGTTCAAGTTCCTCGCTCTCATCTCCAACCAAGTTTAGAAGCTACAGTAATTCTTCTTCATTTCCGCTAGAAGTACCGTATCGTGTGCGAGTCCGAGGTTGGGGATTTTATGACCATTAATAATTGTTATCCCCCCTTGCCAATGTTCCAGTGCTCTTCGGATGATATATTCAGTATATATTGTTACGGATTCCGTGGGTCCACTAATTTAAACTCGCGATTAAATACTTTTTTACGAATTTATTTTCTCACTATATACACGCAATTTATACTGATTAACAACACACTATTTAAAAAAACTCCTTCGCTAAATAGTTACGATTCACAATTTAAAATGGTGTATTTTCAAATTTCAAACTTCAAAATTGGCCGATCGCGCGCCTTTTTATACTCTACTGACTGTTTCTGGAACTTCTAAAATTCTCGGTATCTTTCTGTCATCTACCAGTAAATTCTGCCGCCTGATTTGTGGCGCTTTTCTACTTGGCTAAGAGATGGCGCCTCAACAATGTTCTCAGATAGTCAGCCAGATTCCTCAACCAGCAATACACGTTGCGGTTATTAGATTCTCGCTTCTCCGATAAATGGCGCCACATACACCTTTAACCACTTTTATGGTTTGTAAAGTCCGATGTCCGGTTAATGTTTGGGTTTGGTTGTTTTGTGTTATTCTCGAGATTAACCGGATAATGTCGATATTAACCGAATATCTATTATATACCTTTAACCGTAACATATCCCTGCCTAACACCACAGGTTGGTGGGCTGGAAGTCTTCCGAAAAAAAGCCATTGATGGTAATTCTACTTTTGGAATTTATATAGAGATTCTGAGTCAATGAAATAAAATAAAAAAGAGGCACGCCCCTTTTTTTTAACCATCCATAGTTTTGACTATTTGACTTTGTCAAAAACTTTTTGATAGTATATGAAAGAAATATAGGGCAGATTGTTAAATTATCACGCCTTTTCTATAATCTGATGGACATTCAAAATTTGTTCACGTGTGTCTCGACCCCTTGTGAATCCTGCTTGCTCTGGAGGTATTTGGGGTTGAACATACGGTTTTAGCCTTTCGTTAATGATATGAAGGAGAATCTTACTGGAATTATAGAAAATGGAGGCAATTAATTTACTAATTATTTTTATTAAAAAATATATATAAAAATATCTTTATTTTGAAAGTTAACGTCATTACAAAATCATATTATGGGAAGTACTTATTCGTGTATCACTTCAATTGTCTCATTATCAGGATTTTCATTCTTCATAAGAACATTGACTAAAGCCTCCAAGTTCTTAACTTTTTTCGTGAGCCTCAATTTAGATTGATGCAGCATTTTAATTTTCTTTGTCTGCTGAGATAATTTTGTTTTTGCCAGATTAAAACACCATCTAGCGTCCTCTAAAGTATTCAGATGCTTACTAGTTATATCACCCACGAATCTGGGTAATCTATCATGCGGCCCCTTTAGAGTGCTGAAAGGGAGTATCTTTGGTTGTTCGCTGCTGCTGACCACGGTAGCTCCTTCTGAAAAAATAGTAACATAGTGCTAGCAAAAAAGTCTGCGTCTAATTAGATCTATTTTTATTATTAGTAGTACAGTCACAGAGCTGCAAGCTAACAGAAAATTTTAGCCTTTTTTTTACTTAAATCATTTCAATGATTTAAATCATTTGATAAAAATGACTTAACTTGAAAGAAAATGACTTAAGTCAAAGACTTAACACTTAAGTCATTTGAACTTAATATGAGGTTTGTTCCAACCAGCATTTCGGGATCGTTTCGAAATCGTATTCGAATTGGTCTTCTTGCACTTTGTTAGCCTGAGCAAACTTCGAATAGTTTCATGACGGTGCAAAAAGTATCAACATTGGAACGCTTTGTGGATTGTTTTCGGGACTATCAAAAGCGTATCGATCGGATTTTTGTTGAGAATTTCATAACATAACCCCATTATTTTTGTTTGCAATTTGCAATAATAATAATTATTATTCTTGAAACGGAGAATCAGAATCCAGTAAATGTTGGTAAGTGTTGTTTCAACGGTAACAACACACTCACTTACCTATCCTCTCTTTTATGATCCTGGTATTTCATTGTAGTAGTAGAACCTTTGAACATTATTTTTAAAATAAAAAATTAATTAAAATTTCCGAATGATTTACTCCACACAAACTCACAAGCAAAAGTATAACTCACACGTGTTCGAATTTGTAACAAACAACCAAGACAGAAGTATCAGCCGGACGCCGGACCAGAATCAGCTGTTAAAAATCGATAATCCCTGACAATATGTTTTAATGCGCAAGTCAACCCAACCAGTTCTCAATTTGGACCATGTACCGAAATTACCGTTTGGAAATCGTAACTAAACAATCCCAAGGTAGGTTAGTACGCAAATAGGATCGTCCGATAACCGTCAAATCTCGGTTGGAACACATTTGAATTACTGCGCACGAGCGTGATCGTTCGGGGACGGTTCTGCGGCGGGTTGGAACAAGAGTTAAATCATTTTGTTTTTAAAACTGACTTGTTGCAGCTCTGTACAGTCATTTTATTCTAAAAAAGGGGTTAGTTGGAGAGTTTTCCAGGAGTCTTGTAAAATAGATAATTTTATAGATTTTGATGTGCCCTTTCCGAAGTTCAATTTTGCCGCTCTCGGCCGCGAGAGCCCCCATATTGGAAAAAATGACGCCATGTTAAACATTTTTTCAAAAAGCAGTTTTTTGACAATATGTTCTTTTAAACAGCAGCTACACTATCCCCGAAATATTTCTGGAAATAGTTCGATAAATATAAGCCCGTATTATAAAAATTAGTTCCTACGTTTCCTGAAATTGACCGAGACCCGCCGTGATTGGTTGTTTGTTTTTTATTGTTAATTTGGGTTAAGTTCGGTTAGGTTAGACGGGCTTATATTTATCGTGCTATTTTGTAAAATAGCACGAGGCAATCAAGGTCAAACGTTGAGATGGCTTCAGAAGAATAAGTAAACATGGAGCATTAATAAATATCCATTAATCTATAATGAATTTTTTTTTGAATACAAATTTGGTGAAAATGAGTCAAATTAATTATTAATTTTTAATTTATTATTTTTAACCAACCTAACCTAATCTAACCATAAACTTTTTCAAACATGTCCTTCAAATCCAAAAATATAATAGCTATTAATAAGATATATAGTGCACACACAATTTTTTTCATCGAGGTATGTCCAGTAGGCCTAATACACATGGAATTTATTACCGTGGTTTACTATCTGTGGTGTGAAAATGAATTTCTTGGCTAATTCTCGTGTTGAAGTAAACGCCAAAAACTATTGATTTTTTGCAGAATCATTAAATTATAGAATTTTTTAGTTTTATTTTGTACTAGCAGACCCGTGGCAAGGTCAATGTCACCAGCAATTGCCGCATTGATTCACAAGTAAGGTCATAAACCGATTTAGTTAGAAAATTAACAAAATCGTATGGGAAATGACAGGAAATACTTTCAAGTAAGTTAATTTCAACAAAACTTAAATGTCAAAACATGACCTCAGTGCACATGACATGACAAATGCATTCATGACACATAGTGCACACACTGTTTTTTATTGAAAGCGACTGATAAATAATTGATAAACTTGGTATAATCCTGGCTTGATCCTAGTATGCCGCAGCGGCGTGCGATGACAGTTATAGGCGAGGAAGCGAATCGGTAAAAAACCCTATTTCGAGACATTACTTTTACATTTTCTTAAAAAACTTACCTTTGAAAATTCCGAGGCCAATTCCATTGTTCGATTAAAATTCTATCGAAAATTGTTAAACAAACAAAAACACATAAAGTTATAATAGTTAAAATACGATATTTTAAATTAATTTTCCAAAGCACTTGACGCGCGATAGGCACCTATTTGTATTTGAGGTCTATTCGTCTATCAGCCATTGCAAATTTGTCTATAACATCATCATAGAATTTTGGATTTAATTTATTATAATATTACCTATAAAATCGCAAGCGAACGATACATTAAAAGTCGAGGAAGGAGGCCGAAAGATCGCTCCCGTGGCTAGCAACTGTGCGCGATTTTCCGGCTTAAATTTGTCGTTTGCGTTCGAGGTCAATAACACCTACATGAAAGAGGGATAGGCGACCGGCGGCGATTTCCAGGCGCGCATCCATGCAGTAAAAGGCTAATTAAATTTACTACGTTTATGTAAGGTTTCAAATAAATAATTTTAACAAATTAAATTAATCTTTTGTTATAAAATAACAGTATTATTAACGTTTAACTATTCATTTTTTTATCTTTAAAAAGTTTAGGGAAGCGGTGCTTCCCCCGCTTCCATGGACCGTACGCCGCTGGTATGCCGTTACGTCACCAAGCGCAATTAAATGTACTACAGTTAATAAGCTGTAACCTGGATTATACAAAGTATTACAGTTGAGGGTTGGAACCTTTGGTGTTACACAGCAAAATAAAAACACTAAATCACCACAATACACCAACAATTATTAGGTAATCCAAAAGATAAAACACCTCCACTGGAAAGGTCGGGTATTTATGAAATTTCTTGTAAAGATTGTAATCAGAAATATGTTGGGCAAACTAGAAGATCAATATTAACTAGATTTAAAGAACATTTAGCTCAGATAAGATATGGTAGACCGGATAAATCTTGCGTTGCCGAACATATTGTTGATAATGAACATTGTATAGATCTTAATAATTTAAAATTAATTAAACAAGTCTCAAATTACAGGCAATTAGATGCATATGAAAGCATCAGAATTAATAAATGTAAAGATAGTATGAACAGAGTCAACGGTCCAATTCGTTCAAGTTCTTTGTTCCTACTACTCTAGTGGCGGAAATCTAACTGTTACGCTCAGTTGGCTTTGACTCGGTTGGCTAGATTTTGCCACGCCCACTCGGGGCCCACTGAGCGAGTATATAAACGCTCACCTTGTAGATTGTACTTTAGTTTATAATCATCTGCTGATGATGCTAACATGGTTAGCGAAACGCGCGTCCAGTGTAAAAGTAAAAGTGTTTTGGTGTATTGTGGTGATTTAGTGTTTTTATTTTGCTATACAAAGTATATTATAGTTATGTTATTAATATTTCCCTGACTAGAATTTGAATATTAATTATACATTGAGAAAATCTACATGTTTGGAAAATTGTGCAAAGTATGTGTTTAAAATAAATATATGAGTTCAGTTCTAGCCGTTGACCGGTTAACAACGTCGTGCGCGAGTTATTCTAAGTAAAGTAATATGCGTATTTTTGATACAGCATCGATAAACAAAAACTAAAACAATGCCGCCCGCCGGCAATACGGGCGAGGATGATTCGAGTGAGGACAGTGAGGTGTGTAAAACATGCAATAAATCAATAAGTGATAATGAATTATCAATATTCTGCGAAGGCCAATGTAGATCATGGTATCATACAACGTGTCTGAACATAACTAAAAAGCAACTAAATCAAATGGAAGCTATAAAAAATTTAATTACATGGTTATGTCCAACCTGTAAAAATAATTTGGAAAGGATGTGGGATGACTATACAACAAGTAAGAAAATTTTAAATAAACTAAATGAAATAGAAGGGAAACTAGAAACTAAACCACAAAAAATTTTGTCATACGCTGATGCCCTGACCAATAGCGCTATTAAAACTGAAGAAAATAAGAATATTTGTCATGAAAGAACATTGGTAATTAAACCAAAAAAATCACAAACAAAAGAAGCTACAATTCAAGAATTAAAACAAAAAATAAATCCCGCAGCTGCCAGCGCGCCTATCAAATATTATAACTATACAAAAAGTGGTTGTGTCATAATAAAAAGCGACAGTGCAGAAAACCTTGAAAAATTAAAAACACATGTTCAAAGTAAGCTAGATACAAAGTATAACATTGAGATGAAAGACCAATTCAAACCGCAAATAAAAATAACTGGGCTACTTAAAGAATATAAAGAGGGTGAAGAATTACAACAAGACCTAAAATTATTGAACAGTAAAATTTTAAACGAAAACGATAAAATAAAATAACTTTTACAAGACAATCGAAAAAATCAAAAAGTGGACAGTTTTTGCTGAAACAGCTGGACACACATACAACAAATTAGTCAACACAAGATTGGATCTGGGGTGGAGTAGCTGCCAAGTCCATGAAAACCTAAAAATAATTCGCTGCTTCAGATGTGGAGTGTTCGGGCATAAATCCGCTAATTGTCGTGAAGATCAAAAGTGTACATATTGTGCGGGTCCACATGACCGATTAAAGTGTGATAAGAAGGTTAAGAAATGTGTAAATTGTTTTTATGTGCACGGTAAATTCAATGCTGATCAACCGTTTGATCATGACAGCGAAGATGAAAGACACTGCCCTATTCTAGCCAAGAAGTGTCGGCTTGCTAGGGAGAAGATTAATTTTAATGCTAAACTAGAATAGTAATTTTAGAAATATAAGGTATAAATTGTTATTTTTAATTTTGAATTATGAATTCAACTGAATCCGACATAC